GTCAGTACTACACTTTCTGGTGATTGTGAATTTGTTTCCCCCCACCCCCCACCCCTATACAGTCATGTATGGGTAAGGACCAGCCTTTCTGATGTTGTCATCTCAACAGCTAAGCATGAATTCTTTGGAGTGGCAATGTAAGTCTTTTCTATTTGTGATATGTGGTAAAGCAATCTCTAATCAGTTTTACTCTGTGCATTTGCCAGCAGCGAATTTCAAATAATGCATCAAAATTCATTGATCAGAAGAAATGCAGTAAACTCTACCTTATGTTGTCAGTACTACACTTTCTGGTGATTGTGAATTTGTTTCCCCCCACCCCCCACCCCTATACAGTCATGTATGGGTAAGGACCAGCCTTTCTGATGTCTTCTTTCAGGACCTTGAATTAAACTTTCTATTGTGGATATATGTGAATGAGTTCATAATTTTTATCAGAACATCCTCCTTTTTTAGCATACTGTGTGGATTTTTACAACTCCTATAAATATTACCTACCCATCAAGACAAAATCCTGAATCTAATATGGTTTTGAAAAGAAAAAAAGATTAAACTAATGTATGATGGATGTTAATGTCCTGTGCATAGGAACAGTCTATCATGTCCTCCCTATCATCATGAAGGAGGACGTGAAGGAATAGCAGAGCCCAGATAAATGAATGAAACGAGCACTGTCTAATAGACCTCAGGTGGGTGGGAGTAGCTGCTGAATTTCTGAATGTAAAGCGTAATAGCATAAAGGTCCTTTTCCTTGCTGAATCTGACAAAAATGTGATCATTTCTAATAATTTTAAATAGATTAACATAAGAAAAGCACATGTACGTTTCAAATAGGCCTCCATTTTACTGGCATACATTTGTAATATTTATAGCATACTCTGTATGTACATACAGGCACTTCTATATGCTTCTGTGTGTGTGTTTGAGACAAGGCAGAACACATCTGAGTCTTTGTCTTCTGACTTTAAAGCATGAATCATAGAGTCAAAGTCATTTGATTTACCCTTTCGAAAGAACTTTCACAAGGGATTACTTAAAAATCTCCTTCAAAATGCCACCAAAAATTGTTTAGAAACTTGCCAGCCAAACTAAGATAATTTCTAGATGGGCTTTTAAAAATGTTGTCCACAGAACTTTTGAAAGGAGATGAATTTCATTAACTTGCTCTAGAAGAATACTCATCAGATACACAGAAGTTATCCAGGAAAATGCAGATAAATTGGGGATTGTAAATGGAGACACTTAGAAATGTGGCTAATTTTCTTTCTTACCCACTGAAGCAAAGACAGGCTCTGAAAAGGACCAGGTACTGGGGTCCCTCCCCACAGCCCTGGGCAGATGGACCACTACCACTCGGCTTCACGCTGGCTCATTTACTTAGTGTTTTGCAATCCTTAATGTGCACAGCTGGCAGCTGAATGCAGGTTTGATACTAACAGTTTAGACATCTTTAGATGTAGCAGATGGAAAATTTTACACAAATAAAGTAGGAGAAAGTGTGCAATTAGGTTTTTATCTGCAGTTACATGATGCATCCTCTGTTTTAGTTTAGAACATCACCTTAGTGGGTGGTCATGATCTTTTCTTGTATCCAGGCCCTACCTTCTTGACACCACATTTGATGCTGGCTAAATGCCCAAGCACCAAACTTTTGTTTTTGTTGAGTGTGAATGAAATAGGGAATGCAACAATCAGCAAAGCAAAAGGCATACCATCAGTGAGACTGTAACAGTCCAGTACATTATGGTTACATTCCTTGCTAGTTAAGTCACTATGGTAAAATCCTTGGCAGGATTTTTTTCAATAGTTTATTCATGATGTTCATTATTATGAGTTGTAAAGAGTATGAGAATTTCATTTTTAAAATGTCTTATGGAATGTATCACTTTCTTAGATCTTGTAGACATGCTGTGGAAACCATAACATAAAATATGAGTTACTTACAATAACTAATTTTAATCCCATCTGCTAAGTATGACAACATTAGCATTTCCACTTAATTAAAAACACCCTTAAAGCAGCAATGTTTTAATCACTCCATTTTATTTACTCTCCTCCAGTGTCACTTATAATTGTAACTTTTTATTTTTTAATAATGAGGGATTTTTTTTTCTCCTTGCATCACACAAAAAAGTGCTGTCGATAATTAGCAGTCTTCTGTTATTAGTAGACTCAGGTGTCACAACTGTGTCTCATCCTCATTACAGTAAAAAATTTCACCTATCAGATTCATTATTGCTAGATAATGCGACTGAGAGCCTTTGCAGGCCCTCCAGAAAAGTAATTCAGCCAAGCAAAATTATCAGCTAATTATATTTAGAATCAAAAGCCCAACAACTATTTGCAGATAAATTGTATGAATTGAAGTGAATAGATCTGAATATTAAGATTCATAGATTTAGCAGATGATTTGTTAATTGGAATAAAAAGGTCATTTACTAGTCATTTTAACAATAGATCAATTGGAACTCTATTTATTATTTAACTGGTAGTGCATAAGAATTGAAATGATGAATAATTGTATTATTGTCATGAGATGATAATTTTTTAAAAAACAAGAAAATAAGAGAAACCTATGAGAATGGATTTTATTTATTTGTTTTTAAATACTGTGTCCTGTTTAACATATTTTGAAACATAGTCCTGATCTAAAGAATGTATGTAATAAGGTTCAATATTTTAACAAGTCAAAAATATAACCAAAAGAGATGGTGGTTTGTTTCTTGGTGAATTAGAAATATAAGCATGAATAAGATAATTTATAAATAAAAGTTGAAATCCAAATTTGTAAATTTTTTCTTCCTAACCCAAATAGTGCCATTCCTGTCTTACTGTATTTTAATTAGCAGAGGTTTTTTTGGAAATGGCATGGTACATACTCATACGATGACTCAAAATGTAACTTGGCCTGCAATTTTCTTTCGGGGAACAGAATACTCTAATTCAAATCCATTATTAAAAAGCAGATAACATGTGCACTTTCTGAAATGCCTATGACTTCATTCTTTTGATTGTATGTAATTATAGGAGAATGTTCATATGTATTTGCTTTTTGATTGGCACAGCAGTTTAGACCTGAATGTCTTTCCGATAAAAGTGCATATTTTCTTTTGGTCCATAAAGAATATCACTGGTTTATATGCTCAAAACTTTTGTTAATGTTTTATAATATAGTCACAGTGCAGTTTATAGCCCTGCTTATAATAAGCATTTCTTTGTGTACTTTATGTATGTAAAGAAAGAAATATTAGAGATTAGTTTGGATTCTGAAACTAAGAATTGGTCACTAAAACCTGTGCCTTCCTACTGTGTCATCCTGTGTGTAACTTCCACTAGTTCTCAAGCAAAGCTTTAAAACTCAGTGTTTTTCCAAAATTTGCAGCTTAAAGTAAATACTTTTCATTTGGACTAATTTCAGTTAACATAATAAAATAGGGAAAAACATCACCCACTTAAAAACAGCTTAAATTGCATGTACTTTGTTACTATAAATAAATAAGGTAAACATTGACATGACTTCAAATTATTCTTGGGTTGAAAAAAATCTGCAGTTCAAAATAAATTTTGCCTTTGGTCAACATGTTGGATGCAATTCAAAGTTTCTCAAAAACTAAACATATTTTAAGGAGTGTTTTGAATTTCACTGCATAATTTCTAGCCAACAGAAATGACAGTGGTATCTTTAAAGTCTATTACATGTCAGATCAATAGCCATTATGCGGGCTGACACAACCATGGAGAGGCCGTACCTTCCTGCTACTTAACCCTTACTGTCGTGACCTCCTGTGACGTAAAGAAAAACCTCCCAGAGGTGGTCCCCGGGCAGAAATGCCCTCACAAAGTGAAACTTGTGCGTTTGTTTAATAATAAAAATATTCTTTTCTGATAAAATGGAAAGTGAGCTGAATTTTTAATCAAGAAAGCAGAATGTTCATTAAAGTAATTGTCCTGAGAATTTTTCAACAAAAGAGGGAAGAGTTGTATTTTCTGCATAATAACAAATTGTTTTGAAGCATGAGCTTAAAATGAAAATGCCCCATTACAACAGATTGTAAATTTTTTTCTGATGCTTTTAAAAGTGCCTCAATCACTTCTACGACTACAGTGCTAAAGTATTTGCTATTTTATTTAAACATTTTTGAAAAATGAACATTCTGAGGCTTTGCAGCGTTATTAAGAAAAGCTGTCCGTACTTTACCATGTTGTTACATGTGTTTATCTGCTGATTATAAAATGTGTTAAACAGTATTTTAAAAACAAAAAAAAATGCAGAGCTGCGCTTTGATTAATTCAGTGAACAAAACATATGCTGCTGGTTCTGTTCTAAGAAATTCATATATGATCAATAAAATCTTTTAAAAGAGCAACTTTGGCTTTTAGGATTGTACTGCCGACCACGTTTTTTGGTCCCACTTAGCTCTGGGCTTATACTGTTAACGTAGGCAAACAAAACCACTTTCTGGCTACAATGGTCATGCTTCTTATTTTAATCTATTCTTCTTTCTAAAATTTCTTTAGGTTGGAAGCTGTGTACTGTGGTTGTTACCCACTTTGTCCCAAAGATTTGGTTTATCCTGAAATATTTCCAGGTAGCTGCTTTAATGTGTATTAATCTTTGTTGAGATTTAATACATGATTCATGTTAAATTAGAAAGTTTGAAAATAAACTTAGGCAGGAGCAATTGTTTATTTGGCAAGTCAACATGTTAGTGTTAAGGAAAATTTTATGTGTTTTAATACATTAGAGTAAGCTTATATTTACCATCTGTTCTTTTAAGATAACAAAAAAGCAAGTTTTCAAATAGCATTCTTCATTGTTAGCATACACATCCCATAATGATGGATTTTTATAATCAGGTCAGTGTTACTCAATTGCTTACAGATTTTTTTTTTTAATGACATACACAGAGAAAAATCAAGGACTGAAAGTCACACCAAATTATTTAAACAATCGACTAGTTAATAATATGCAACTGTTGTACAGGGTACATACGGCTATAGTACCAGTTCTTTGAAAAAATTCTCATCACTAAATATATCACATATGCATTGTGTTACATTAGAATAATGTATTTTAATCACCCAGAGGAGATGTCTAAACAGCACAACTACACAGTCTTATTTAGCATTAAACATCCTTGTGAGCTGAGGTAACCTTATAAAATCATGCTTAAATAATGTACAACACGAGGCGGCACAGAGCAATATGCATTTTTAATTAGTAAAGTGACTAATATCGAGTGTGTGCTTTGAGGTTTTTGTTTCATTAAAAATGTATCTGTTTTTCCTGCAGCTGAATATCTGTATTCTACACCTGAACAGCTTTCAAAAAGGCTCCAGAATTTCTGCAAGAGACCAGACATTATAAGAAAACATCTCTATAAGGTAGTTACTGAGAAGAGATTTACATGGTATAAATGCCATATTGAAGTACAAAGAAAAATCTTTAAAAAAAAAAACATTTAATTAACATACTAATGTTTAAAGGAAACATGCTAGGGAGGGATATTAGTTGTTACACTAACAAGGATTAATTAAACTGGATGCCAGTTGTATTAACCTAGGTCTTATGAAATACGTGCACTTAATGCATGGTACATGCTTTTTTTTTTAATTTATTGTTTTCTAAGATGACTGTCCTTTACATTTAGCCCCCAGAGGCTTATAAAAATGAACCTGGATTAATGTAACTCATTAGTTTAAAAGGAAGTAAAGGAAAGATTCTACAATTATACTAATGAGGATAAGCCTTTCTTCCCATCATAATGAAATCTTGAGTCCTCAAAAATTCAGGTGAATGACATGAGTGAAGTTTCATGTTCATTTTTGAACTACTTTAAAATTGACTGAATATTTCCCTTGTCCAGTTTAATAAAATGACACAAAAATCCTCAGTTTGTTCAAACTGCCAGTCTCCTCTCTGAATGCAAAGGCAAAAGGGAAATAGTAGAAATAGCATCATTATTCAGTCTCCTCATTCATTATCTTTTTTCCTTGTTCGAATCCAGAGTTTTAAGTGGTTTGAAATAACAGCACAAAGAGAGGCCCTACTAAAAGTCTAAATAATTGAACTAGGATAAATCTGCTTTACTAGTTAGGAAGGTGGCTCTAGGCCATGAGTAATATACTTTTTTATATTCTTAGAATGCAGCATTTTCATTTTACATAAATTCTGTATAGTTTACAATCTAGCAGTTTTATAATCTAGCATATTTTATTTTTCCTATGTTAATATATAACCTTCCACGTGAAATACAGTTCTCAGCTTTTTTTCTCTGTCTATTCTTTCCCTGTCCGTGGCCTAAAATACGTATTTACATGGTGATACATCAAAACATGACTTTGTTTCTGCAGGAAATAGTTAAACTTCAAGAAAAAGGGAGAGAACCAAAAATGCAATTTAACACCCAATTTCAAGCTCATTATCTTTCATTGTCTATTAACTTGGCAATGGTTCAGAAGGTAGCTCATAATAGTTTAAAATGCTGACTGAACAGTTCCAGCTTCAGTATTACTCCTTGAGTCAATACTATTGTATTGTGTACATGCGAAGCTTCACAGAGAAAACGGTCCTCCAAGGTTTACCTCAATATTTAGTAATTTTTAAAGTTCAGTAGCAGTTTTGTTTATATAAAATACTAATCAAATAGTTTCCCATGTGGTAGACTGTCAAAATATGCAGATTATGAAAATTAAGGAAATAGAGTAAGTACTAGTACAAATGGATTCATTTTTTAAAGATGACACAAAGCTATTTTCAATGAGTTCTCAGTCAAATTATTGATTTTTCCCCTTTGGGTACATTTTTGATGAAGAATTTGTAAATTATTTCCACCATCAAATTTTACCAGTGTTCCGCGTTGCTTTAGCTTAGGCTTTATTAACCCTGTTATTCTGCATCTGCAAATTTTAAGCATTTTAAAAGTCATTGCAACAAGTTGCCTCTAGTTAGAAAAGAAAGCAGATCTCCAGTTGGAATATTTTAAAAACAGCTACTGTCATAACATAGCTATAATTATTTATTTTAGAAACAACTTCTAGAAAAATTCTGAAAGAAGGATAGCTTAGCGAGTTGCTATTAATACACCAAATTTTTCCTCATATAGCTGAAAAAATAACCTGTACCTTAAATGTTATTCCAGTGAGCTATTATATGTTCGTACTTACATACATTTTAGTGTGTACATCATAAAATCTTCCACCTCAAAGTTTTATGAATTAGTAATGCATGCCCAAGTATTCATAAGAATTTATAATTTATTTTTAAGAATTTTCTGCCATGGATTTTTCCCTTATAAATTTGTAATACACCATCACATATGTCTTCATTCACAGATCTTAGTGACATTGTGACTAGAAATCTCAAAAATTAATAAAGTAGTTCAAAATTACAAGTAATCAAGAGCTTTATGATACAATTATTAGGAAAATAGGGCATGGTATTGAGTTAAAAATCACAGTAGGGACCACAGATTTAGTTTGTTTGTGATAGGATTTAGAGCCAAAACAAACAAGAAAAATCCTTCTAAAACTTCATAATAAAATACAATAAGTTAGGGTAATTTTTACCTTATATTTTATCAATATACTCATATTCAGGTAACATTTACTTTTACTAAATACTAGAGAATTATCTCCTCTGAGGCAGCTTTTTACCTACTTTTCCTATGCAGTGGAAGCTCTTTTGTGTGTACTGTGAAGAGAATGTTGAGGGTTATTTTTAGATTATTTCATTGGACAGTGCTGTTTTGCTTTTATAAAACATATGCTTCTAAGATCTAAAAGGAGAGAATGTCACTGAATTCTTTAATTTGTTCCTTTTACATTTTATACCTTACTCTTTTTCTGTTGTTCAAAGTTTACATTTTAAAATCATTTCGACTTCTTATCATATAGAGTTCACTTTAGGATAAGATTTTTCATATGGATTCACACTTAGAAATTTAATGACTAGAATAAGGCTACTAACACTTGGCTTTCTTCTCACATGAGACATTATACTTTCAATATGAGTGAGAGTTTTGGGGCTATAACTTGAAGCAGAATTTGAAACAGAATGCTAGTAACTAAAAAGCAGAAACAGAATTTACTTTTTTTCTTAAAGTGACTCTTTCTATTAAAGAACACTGTGTCCATAACTTCTCACCTGAAATCGTTTCAGACCTGAAATGTTTGAAATCCTCATGTGCATACAAGTGTGTTCTCACTTACTCTCTTACACACATGCACGCACACCCTCATGCACACACACGCGCATGCACACACACATTTTTCTTAGGCTTTCTTAAGCTCCTCAGAAAAATCCAATGCGTGCAAAAATTAGATGCTTCTTAATAATTTTAAAAATCTAAAACCATCTTCTGAATCTTAAAAAATCTAAAGCCACTTCTTAAAAAGTTGATGTCTACAGTTCAGGCATTGGCTGTAACCTCCTTCCACCGTCAGAACATGTCTTTCTAGGTTTGTCAAATGCATGGAACACATACTTGACACATGGATAACATAGAGAACTTTTTCATGACACCCAAGCCTAAGTGGGACACAAGTTTCTATAAGTAATAAATAATAAAACAATCAGCCAAGGATAGACTTCTTACACCAATGGTAGTTCTTCCTTTCTAACCCAAGCAAGTCTACTACTGGGAAGTTGTATTTTTTTACTTCACTTTTACTATGTGAATTTACTTAATAAAATTTTTTAGTAATTATTTGAGATCCGTGTTTTATGTTTCTAGAGAACCTTGAGCATTATATCTCAAAATAATGTAGAAAAAATATATGTGGCCATTCCCCAACACCAGTATTGAAAATAGCACCAGAGTACAAGTGAGGCAATTGTACGAGACAGATGTCACCTAGACACAGAAGACGTCTTATTCCCTTTGCATTTTTTATTGTTCATATTGATAAACTGAGTGATAAGTCTGCAGTTTAAAGAGAGACCAATGCGGTTCTTTTTTTTCGAGTGACCTAGAGTTTCTTAAGATTTTTCAGATGATAGCTGCTGATATTTTTGTTCTCTTCTTCACGTCTTTTTGGAGGAGAGAAGAATTTTTTAGATTTCTACCTAAGACGAATTCCAAACAATGATTAAGCTCAGAGTTCAGATTCAATGCCTAGACAAGCCATTTGTGGTTGTCTTAATTATGTCAGGCTCTATCTCCCCAAACCACAGCCACGCCACTTTAAGTTTCCTTGAAGAAGCCTGGTCACTTCGTAGTCTCCTTTCCATTTGAGCTTCGCTCTGTGCATACAAGTGCCTCTGAATAGGTGTTTGGTGCTCGCCGGTTTTCACATGGCTCCACCGTCCTTTCCTTTCCCTTTAAAATGGAAACATTAATGCTGTGACATTTTAAGAACATCTGAGATCTCACAAGTACACCAGACGATTCAGGCAAATCCTCAGTCTCTCTGTCCCCTGCCTTCTCGCTGCCCTGTTTCGTTCTCTCTGTCCCTCCTTCTGGTCCTTCTTTGCCTCTTCCTCCAGTTTCATGTATTCTGGTGTTCCTCTGATTTGTCTAAATAAAATAAAAGGAGAAAACCTTTTATCCTAGATATGCTTTGGCTGATTAATATCAGCTAGAGGTTTTGGTTTCTTGTGTTTCTCTGCTGTTCATTTGCAGCCTGACCGTAGCTGATTTTCCTGGCCTCTGTATGATTCCTTCATAAACCTGGAAGATTTTTTTTTTCAGTCTTAATAGCACATTTCCCCTGAGGTATGGCCATAATGAAATAATGAATATAAACCTGTTTGTAAACGTGAAGTGCTTTATAAATTCCATGTAATAGTAACAGCATTTATCTTTGTGTCTTGACCACTTAAAAGTAAAATTTACATTCACAAAAACATGTATTAAGAGTGTTGTGTATCTTGTGTTTATAAAAGTTAAAAGTTGGATGATAAACTTCGAATAGCTGTCATCCATAACATAAACCAGGAAATACGTGTGCAGCAGAATGTACCCATTTGCAAAAAACAGTAGCCTGCTTGTATGGTTGGAAATGCAGTTGCACTTTAAACCAATCAGAAACTGGGATTTCTTGAGGTGCTGAAACTGGAGAACCATTTACTTGGTGGCTTTTTGAAACATAATTGACGTAAGTGATTCAGATTTGCAATATAAATTTTCGGCATACTTTTCGTCTTTCAGTCATTAATGCTTCTTCCTTCCTTCTCTTCTCTCCCTCCCCCTTGTTACAGGGTGAAATGGCTCCATTTTCTTGGGCAGCCCTACATGGTAAATTCAGGTCTCTGCTTAACAACAGAACCTAGGGAAGATTTGTGACAGATGGGGCTAAGTCACAAACTTGCAGCCTAAGGCAGAATCTGAAGAACTTTCCAGAGTGTGCCCATATTTACCTGATCAGAGAGAAAAGAAAATCTGCAGAGGAAGCTGAGCCTGGCTGCTTGTCATAGCTGACACAGAGCCATCTGCCACAAACCTGTGGCGGCTTCAGATCTCCAATCCCTGCCACCACCCCAACTCAAATTAAATACAGATTCCTAGAGACGTTATGATGGTTACACATGTCCTCGGCATCACATGTAGGAGACTGTTCAAAAAAAATATGTGGCCTGTTGTATAACCGCACTCATGTATCCCATATGTGGTGCCACATTGAATTTCCGGTTGAATCCGTTTTTATCCTTTGTACTGGATGACATGGTGCCTGAATTCTTTCTTTTCGCCGACACGATGGCAGCCAAACTGCAGCTTCAAACGCTCACACTTGGCTGGGTTTCTACCTAGGTTGCCAGGTTATCATCGGAGCCTTCTTGTGTCCTCAGAGGGCCACAGGGCCTGAAAGGAGGATCAGAGTGCTCCCAGACTAATTGGGCAGCCATCTCGGAATTGTTTGTGGGCAAAGGGCTGCTTTAGCACTTTTCTTTTAGTAAATTAATGACTCTCAGGCACAGGGGTTTTTAAGTGAAGGTATTAATAAGAGGTCTGGCAGGTATTCCCATGATTCTCAGAGTTACATTTGCATTTAATTAATCTTAAAGAAAGTTGCAAGATAAACAGCTGTAATTCGGACAAACATGGCAAATATAGTAAAATGGGGCCATCTCACCCATAAAGTGAACTCTGAGATACTTGTCTTATTTTTTTTCCGGGAGTAAAAATACTTTTAACAAAACCAGTAATTGTTGTATAAATATTGCTCAAAAATATTTGCATCCAGCTACAAATGTAATCTTTTCGAGATCAATCACTTATGATTCCAATAGTCAAGCTGCTGTATTTGTTGATATAAAGATGTTTTGAATGGCTAGATTGTAAAATAAATTTTTAATAAAGTGCCCACTGCAATTTTTAATTAGCATATTCATTTACGTGTTGTGTATACATCTATCTGTATGTTTCTCACTAAACATTTCCTTGTGACAGAGACAAGGAATACAATTGTTTCTTTTCCGGATGAACAAGGATCTGTTTTGCAAATGTTTGTAAGATATTATGACATTTCCAAGATTTTCTTTGCATTCTGGAAAGCAGGAGGTAAACATTTGTAGTCATTAAGGTAAAGTCTGTTGATAAACCATCCTCTGTTTACTGACAGGTAAATTGTAACTTTCCTAGATTTTGAAATGAATAAGTTCTATATGCCACAGAGTGAGGCGCAGCCGGGGAAAGGTGGCAAGACAAGAGCTGAGCCAGGCTCTGTGGGTTCTAGAGGCATCCAAGGTAGAGCAGGCAATGGGACACAAGTCCACTAGGTCCCATTTGACAGGTAGCAAAATCGAAAGCAGGAAATAAATCAAGTTAGGGAGCCAGACAGCCCTGGGGTAAAGGCAGGATTGCAGATCAAAGGCAGGGTACAGAGTCTGTGAGGCCTGGGAACTTAAACGCGGGAGGAAGCAGCAGAAACACGCTCTGCCTTTGAACAGAGACGCCTCTCTTCCACCTACACAAGACCCACAATATACATATGATGGGCCACCACAGCACTGGCTTCCAGTCCTCCAGAGAAGTCCCAGAACAGACTACCTCCTCACCCATAAAACAGTGGGCTCAGGAGCTATTTTGGTAGTCCCTCCTAGACTAAGACAGTGGAGCTCAGAATGTGGCAGCTGCGCTGCTTTTGAGATGAAAACTGAAGGTTAAAATATGAGTGAGGAGTTCTTAGACATTTCTTTTGGGCAAGGTTATACTTTATCCCACCTAATGAGATGAACCAGACTAGTCAATATGCTTCAGTCAGAAAGGTGCTATGTCATAGACAACGTCCTCTCAAAATAATATTGCAGTCTCACAGCCAAGAAACAGTGCTTTAGTTTACTATGTTTTTCTATTCTGACAATAATGGGCTCGTGTTTTATAGTGGCTAAGATACTATATGCACAGCAAGTATCCGTATATGTTTTCCCACCAATGATGGAGGAGGGGAGTGTTAAATATCCTTTAAAGAGCACATCTGAAACATTTACATATTTTCCTGATTTGGGTGAATATGATATTGAAAATTACCTGCATGTGCGTGATTTTCGTACACCTATAAACACAAATCAAATTTTATCTTTAGCTGTGGCCAGCATTCCTTCCTTCCCAGTGATACCCAAAAGGTATCACTTTTGAGAACTGTGCAATCCGAGTTGGTATTGGTGCACATAGCAATCAAAAGTTTTGTAAATGGATAATTCTTAACATTTAAGAAGATGTATCTGTATCTGTATGTGTGAATGCACACACTTTTCAACCCCCTGGCATGGTAGAATGTAGTGTTACTAAGTCAACCAGTATTTTGTTGAAGTCAGCAGATAAGTGGAAATACAAGTTGACTGATGAATTCCTGTTTCCTTTATTTTCACAAAAAAATATCAAACTCCCCCATTATTTCTTGTTTTGAGTATGCTTACTGGAAAATGTAGTCTTTGTTAAACACTCAATTCTATTAATTTTTTTAAATAAAACCTATTTTAATTTTAGACATCTTTAAAAGTCTGCTCAGTGTCAAGACCTTGATGCAATATCTAAGATACTTGCCGTAAGTGTAATCTGTGTTTCTGTATAGGTGTTTCTGGTTATTAACCTACTCATTGATGCCTTGTTGATCAGGAACAGGTCATGAGACCTTTTTCAAAATGCTCCTGGTTTACTAAACCTCCTTACTACAGTAAAGTTTTAGTGCCCTGCTCTTGTTCTCCATTCTTCAGACAGGCTTCATAAAGATGGCACCAAATCCACAAAGGCAATGGAAACTCTTAGCCATAGAGAGCTGCATAGATTAATTTCAACACCTTGAAATGCATCTGGAAGCAAAGATTTCATTTTATGTTGAAGGTGTTAATTATATTTGATATTTTTAAAAGTAAAATCTGTTTTTGAGAAAGCATCTGCTACCCAGAAATATTATGAGCCACAAAAGAAATTTCATTTAAGTCTCTAGATACTTTCTGTGGGTGACAAAATCAGTTTTCAAATGGTAGTCCATGCCGTCTTTCAATGCAGACATGTGCTGGGAGTCTCATTCTTCTATTGACTATTGACCTAATTGCTTTTCTGTTTCAGTGGAAAATTAGGGAGTATTTAATGTCAGATCGAAGAGACTATATTATAAACCACTGACTTGAACATGTTTCATTTTAAAATTTGAATTGAGATACAAGACAACTAATGCTTCTATAATATGCCCTTCCTTCAAAGCTATTCATTAAAATGTAATGGGGAAAGTTTTAAAACATGCAAGCAATTCTACACGCTGCTCAAAGATATGTACATATGTGATTAAAGTACAGTATTACAAAAAAACATGGACGTTAACCCCGCTTACAATAATGGTTATGTCAGAGGTTCATTGGTGGGAAGGACAGGATGTAGGCGGGCCAGGAGGCACAGCACGAGGTGATTGACCGTCTACCCGGCAAGGCCTCTTCTCTTTATGATTGTGTACATGTCTTCCATATAATCATTGGATATGCATTTTGGTAGGAGCTATAAGTACTTTGGGAAGCACAGAGCCAATTTTGCTACCATGCCACCTTAACATTTCCTGACTTCCTACACTACTGATCTAGTCAGAAAACTGTTTCCCTCAGAAAGTGATAGAAACTGCTCTAACTGCCACTTTGCAGGAGAAAACTATCCTCTGCTTACCAGGAGCCAAGGACTTCACCTTGACCTGGACCAAAGCAGTCTGTGAAGAAAGTCCACAAACCCAGGGTGGAAAACTGTAGCTCTGTAAACTCCACTTTTGGGGTGCGGGGGGTCATGAGAGGAAGGTGAAGGTAGATGTGAGATGAGCCTAGTCTTTTTGTCCTAAAAACTTCAGAGCTGGGCGGCAGAGCAGCAGAGCGTCTTAGCTCCTGCTCATTCTCATTGTGTTTCCTGCCCCCTTTCCCATTCGAGACAGGGAGGCAGTTGTGGTCTCTGCTGTCTGCAAGGCCCACATGTCTCCAGGGACCAAAACCCCTACTTACTGGCAAGCCCATTTTTCTAATTCAGGATCACTGTCTTCAGGGATTCTCCCATTATGTGTCTTTACCTGAATGATTCCTTATTCTCTCCTGAAGCTTGACAGGAATGAGTTTCAACTCCAGGGGAAGGTCCTAATTCTCTTCACAAAGTGATATAAGGAATTGACGATTCTTGGAAGATAATTGCAAATGCTAGTGTTCCTTTCTATCAGGTACTACATTTAAAAAGTAGGCCTACAGTGGGTTGCCAGAAGCTGTGACTCCTGCTAGGAATACTTGTGCAATCTTTCTCTAGCAATTCAAAATCCTTCATAACCAAATATTTAAAGTTTCCAATATTATTTCAAAAATGAAAAAATTAAGGCATTATAGAGAGGCCTATTTAGGAGCTGAAGTATTATAGAAACAGAAAGCCTTTTTATATTAGCCGATCTCCATATGGCATGTTGTCATTGTCACCAGGAAGCAATAAGTTTGGTGGGTGTGACTCAGTTGGACCTCTAGTTCCCTTCTGTTTCCTGACCAGGCAGGAGTTGACAAAGGGCAAGGGGGGGGATCTTTGTGGCCCACGCTGTTGGTAATAAAAGGGACATGAGCTATCATATAGTGTGGCCGTCTCTTAGGTTCTTGAATGTTTCTATTACTTATTGTTACTCTGCCTGTGGCCTGTGGCAGGCCTCTGCCACCCCCTGGTCTTATACTCTGCTAGACTCATACATTTTGGTAACTTCCCTGGCCTTCTGGGTAAGCACTTATTTTTATAATCTCCGTGTATTTTAGATATGGGAAACTGAGGGCTTGAGCAGATGATGACTTGGTTGGGTCCCTTGCTGGTAGAGGCAAATGGAGAACACAGATTTTCCAGGACTCTTTTAGTAAACCGTGTTTGATTTAATTAGTCAAGACCACCCAGTAAAGAAGCAGAAAGGAAAAGTATTTCTCTCCATCGTTTTTTCCTCTTTTTGTCCTTCTCCTACCTCTCCCCATCAGAAGAAAGTTGCTAAGACCACACCATAGAGTTCATGTGATGTATGGCTATATTTGTATTCTAAGTGACCACAGGAGAGGAATACAAAAAGACTGATTTCTGGTGCTAAGATTTCAGATTCTGGTGCTTGTGACAATTCTGAACAAGCGACTCTTCTCTATTGCCTTCCAAATCATATGGTGACAAAGTTCCTCCCCCCATGATAGTATAAAGCTGGCCCTTTATCCAAAGGCAGCCCCAGGATCTCCCTGGTACAGCGGGCCAATGAGCAGGGGAGGCAGGTGCTGGTGGCTGCAGCAGCACCAGGCCTGCTTTCTCGCATTTCAAAGAGATAACCCAGAAATTACATCCCGAAACTTATTTCCCCAGAAAGAAAAGGAAGAGGAGGGATAACTTAAAAAGATGAAACTTCTAATATGTTATTAGACTGTAATTCATAGGGAAATTTATGCCTGAGATATGAATTTCTGAAAATAGGGGTTTTTTTTAAAAAGGGAAACACTGACACATCCTTAATTATAGAGTAATAAATACCAATGGTATATTATCTTCCGATATTTCCTTACAGATATCAAAGCATGCAGCTGTTTTTGAAAACTGATAATCAAGTACAATATAAGTATATTACATCTTGCTCATACAACACACCCTTCAACTAGGCAGCATTATGGAGCACTTAACAGTGAGAAACAGAGCTGCTCATAGTAGCATAGTAGAAACCTAACTAACAAATGAGCTTTGAATTGTGACTTAAAAATCGTAGTCAAACCGAAGTGCCTGCCCTTGCCAGGAAAGGCATTCCAAAGGCAAAGAGCATGCCAACTTAAAAGCCTTTGCTTCAGGATGATGGCGGCAGTTCTGAAAAGCCAGCATAACTTAATGATCAATCAGAAAAATATAGAGCTGTAACTACAC